CTGCAGCTCACTACAACAACCAGCGCCGCCCCGGGGCCGGCAGGAGCCGGAGGCTGGGCCAGCCACGCGCGGGGCACCACGGGAGCGGGAGTCCGCAGCCAGTCGACCGTCACTCGGCCCGCGCCTGAGGAGTATAGACACCGCGTCGCGGCCGGAGAGGGGAGAGGAGCGGGTCGCAGGGGCCTCCGGGAAATGTAGTTTACACGCCTCTCTCCTTCCGCTGGGAGCTAGGGCAGCGAAAGCCGGGACTATGGAGTCTCGGGAAAGGCCTGGAAAGCCAGCTTTGGGGCCACCGAAAGGTGAGGTTCTCACCCTAGACTTCTACTGCTCTTGTCCGAGCAAGTGGCCCGCAGGAACTATCATTCCCGGAATGCAACGTGCTCCGAGCCCTGGGAACCCCGGAGACACTGGGAAATGAAGTTCGCAACTGCAGGAGGCGTGGGCTGGGGAAAAGCAGTGGCAAAGGGATAGTCTCAGTTCTAGATGCGGCTGGTCGCTACGGCGTGCAATTTCCGGAGTGACCGCGGCTTAGGGGACCTTATGCTCGAGGAGAGGAACCGGATGGCTGAAAGCAGGGCGGAGCACGCGTTCCTCTGGAGCCCAGCGGTAAACAAACGTGCCCATGAGCCGTTGTTTGCTGTGGAAGGGTCGAGTGACTTAGGATCTCACAGTCCCCCAAGACCGGCTGCGAAGTCTGCCGGAACAGCAAGCCGTCGCAACCCATTGCCTCCGGGAGATGATGGAACGCCCTGGGAGATGGAAAAGGCGGCCGTCGAGTTGGACAGCGGACGCACGGGCACCAGGGGCCGCTACAGGACAAGGGGCAAGGTTGCCCCTACCCCAACCCCCGCGCGCGCACAGACTACAGTCTGGACTCGGTTTTCTTGCACTGAGAGGAGGGCACAGGAAACTTTATTATGGTCATGCAATCGCCAGACCCAATGCAGTTGACCTTTCCTTGTGCAAACTTCACTGCCCTCATTCCACTCGGGCTTTCTGGCCCACGGTTCTGCGGCCCCCAGTCGTCCAGGATGGGGCTCTAGAGGCCCTTCCTGCGGCGCTTTTGGAGCCAAATTTGCTATACCGCCGCTGCAGTGCCGCAGAGCCGAGCTGGCCTGCTGGCCCGCCTGTCATTTTCTCATTAGACTCTAGGCTGAGGCCAAAGAAGCTGTGGACACCCGGTCAGATGGAGGAAGGGGGACTGCAGGGGAGGGTGGAGGCCCGCAATGGCCTAGAAGAGGAGGAATAGAGAAAGGTGGAGCGAATAGTCCATCCTGGCGGGAGCTGGCTGGGCGAGTGGCCACGCATGTGAGCCTGCATGGAGGCCAGGCTGGGGCAGCCGGCTAGGCACAGAGGGCAGCGGTAGGGCGCTGCCCCGTGCGTACGGAGGTGCTTGGTCATGGCGGAGAAGTCCCGGGAGCGCTGAGGGCAGAGGCTACAGGAGAAGGGCTTTTCGCCTAGGGCGGACAGAAGGGGAACCCAGTTGATGAGGGAAGAAAGCAAAAAGGCGGCCAAACTAGGAGCAGGTAGAGAGGGATGCCCGGCAGACCGGAGTTGGGGAGGAAGCAGGCAACTCATGCTAGGCAGGGTGCCCATACCTGTGTGGACTCGGTAGTGTGTCTCCATCTGATGCTTGAGTGAAAACCTCTTTCCACAGACAGAGCAAGAATAGGGCCGAACCCGAGCAGGAGGGGACAGGGGAGGATGTTGGCGAGATACGGGGCCTGCTCTGCCATCATGACCCCCACAGGTTGCAGTCGAGCCTGTGGGGACAGAGGAGTAAAAGGAAGGCAAAGTAGGGACTCCCAGACTGGATGACTGGAATAAGCAGGCAGAAGCGCCCCCACTATATTCACCTATGTGGCCCTGATCAGATTGGCTTCCATCTTTCCATCTCCCCAGGACTGAGCTGTGTGTGTGTGTGCACGCATGTGTGTATGGGGGGGGAGCCACTCCCTAGGAAACCTAGACGGAGCAGAGTAAATTAGGGACTCTATTCAGGCTGGACTTCTGGAATGCCTGCCTCAGCAGAGAGACCATATTATAGTATGTGTGCAGGGCAGTGAAGGGCTTACCTGGGGTGGGACTGGAGGAGGCCAACAGGTTCTGGTTCCAGAGCCCTTTTTGGAGGTTCAGGGGCAGTGGGATCCTGGGAGGGGTGTGGGGAAGAGTTACAGCCTTGGCAAAACCTACTTGGGGAGAAGGGTGTCCTGGAATCTCAGGGGTTGAGCTCTGAGCTTCCTATCTCATCTCCTGCTCAGGAAATGTACAGAAGATATAAGAGGTGTGGTGCCCTTCCGCCCATCACTGCTGTCCCTCCTGGGCCACTCCCTCCCAGAGATCATCCACTAGGCCCTTCACTCACCTCTGGTCCTGAGGCCAGACCTCCTGCCAGGCTCCAGTGATGGGGTTGCTATGGGAGAAGGGAGTGCCATATCTGGGTGGCAACAGCAGGATGCTCTGCAGGGCAGGCTGGCCCTCCCTGAACCAAGGGGCCTCAGCCCACCAGGGCCTGGAGATGATGCTGGCTTGGAGAGAACCTGGTGGGGGAATGGGGCCAGGGGACTCCCACAGACTTTCCTCAGAGCCCCCCGGACTCTCTGTCAAGCATGTGACCACTCCTGGCTTCCCATCTACTCCTCCATGGCCAACAGAAGATTGGCTGAGTTTCTCTTCCTTTGACCTCCTCTGTTCCCCCTGACCTTCTGGCGTTGCCCCTGTCACCTCAGGGCTCTCTCTTGGTGGCCTGTGCTTGTGCAGCGGTTCCTGTTCTCTCCAACCAGCTCTGAGAAACTGTTGTCTCTGCTTCTCTCCAGGGCCTCCCAGTTCTTGCTCAGATTCCCTCAAGGGTTTTTCTGCCTCCTCCAGATGTTTCTTCAGCCCTGGATCCTGCACGTCTTTAGCCCTGTCTCTTTGAGCCTTTCTGCATGCTTCTTCCAGGGCCTGGACTCCCAGGGCCCTGGCAGCCTCCTCAAGGGGTCCTAGCTCCCCAGGCTGCAGCTCCACACTCTCCCCATAAACAAAATGCAGAAGCTGAGCAAAGGTGGAAGGGCTGATGCCTTCCACCAGAGCCCACCGGCCCCTGTGACCCAGCTGCTGGCTCACACCTGCTAGTACCAGGCTGTGAGCAGGAAACTCTTGGCCCCCCACAGTGATCAGGGTGTCACATAGTGCCGGCCAGAGCCTGGCTGCCAGCCGTACCAGCCGGTCAGAGCCGTAGGGGCTGGGCAGTCTTGTGGGGAGTAGGGACATTGTGCCTTGTCTGCGTACCAATCTCAGAGGTTCTGAGAGAAAGGTTACAGTGTAGGGTCCATGGTGGGAAAGAGAGGTAAGAACAGCATATTCTCAAGCCTGTGGAGGTGAGGGAAGAAAGAGTGAGTTGCTGGTGCTGGATCAGAGCTCGTTGTCCTGAAATGGAGCAAATAAACTAGACCAAGAGAGGGCTTGAGTTTATCCAGAGTCATAACAAGGGTGAGGAGGTGGGGGGGTTATGGGAAATTAGACTGAATTTAGACTTAAAGAGCCAGGATCAGGCAGTTAACAAAACTATTAGGTAGTTGAGTTAAGGCTAGCACATGCTGGGCCTGTCAGTTGACAGTCTGGCCTGAAGTAGAGCAGACATTGCTGTTTCCAGTTCCTCCTCTGAGCAGGCCAGGCTTCCCTTATTCCATACAAAGAGATCACCAGCCCTGGCATTTACTGATGGAGCAAGACAACTTCATGGGCAGAGCTCAGAAAACTGGTGCATCCAAGCTCATCAAGTGGTTCTAAGGCTCCTGAGAAGCCAAGAGGTCAGCAAGAGAAAGTCATGGGCTCAGGAGGGCGGGCTGTAAGGCATTTATCAATTAATCATCCCCATTAGGCTGAAGCTTTTAGAATGCATCCTCAGAGCAGGAACTGAATGGGACCAAACACGCCTATCCTGTAAGGTAAGCGGGCAGGTGCAGAAGCCGTAGGAGACAAAGCTCCTGATCCAAGGATGGAGAGAGGCTGTAGAGAAGGCTTTGACCCTCGAGGGAGTGAGGGGAAGGGAAAATGGAAATTGTACAAGGAGAGGCTATTTGTGCTCAAGATTAGGAGAAGACTGTTTAATTGTATTTTCATGGGCCAAAAAGTGAATAGAAAGACAGAACACCACCTCCCTCCCTGCTCGCCCCCTCCCCCCCAAAAAAAGGCTAGAACCCAGCAAGGCAGGAGTTTATCACATCAAAACCACCACATCGGCTTTCAAGAAGTGAACTGGGAACCCAGAAACAAAGAGAAATAGAATCTGAGTGTCTCGATGCCCAACAGCCATATTCCTAGGGGCATGTTCACCATAAGCAAGACCCTTGTGGGAGGCAGGGCTACTACTTGGCCACCTCGGGGAGAGGGCTTGCGAGTTGGCAGAGAGTGAACAGAAAGGGGTGTGATGTGAGCAGAAAAGCCTCAGCTGGAGAGAAGCAACCACTCACCAGTTGTAGCTTCCTCACTGGACACCGCATGCTCTGAACTGCTGTTAGGGTTTCTGGCCCCCACCCCCCTGGAGCTAGCCCCACCCCTGACCTCACAGTCCTCCATTGGATGTTCCAAGAATCAGTCTGCTACAGTCCTCCAGGGGGGTGTGGTTTATAAAACCTCAGGCTCTGCTTCACCCCTCCAGGAGAGGCCACCCTTCTCCTTCCAGATCCCAGATATTCTGCCCCCTTACCTCCTGTCTCCTAACTGCGTTTGTGAAGTAGAGTCAAAGAAGTGCATCTGAGGCGACAACTTTGGAATGGTCGACCTGCACAGGACTCTCATCTCTGGCATTTACTAGTTGAGTCATATTGGCCAAGTTACTTCCCTGAGCCTCAGTTACTTCATCCATGAAATGGGGATAATTCCTGTTTCTGTCACTTGGAGGTGAAGATGAAATGACATGGATGTGAAAGTGGTTTGTAAGTGCACAGCATCATTCAAATAGTATTAGTTCTGTTTCTCAGAGGGGACAATAGAACTGTCATAGCTAGAAGCTGTCTCTGCTCCTACCTCAGAAATAAAAAGGACGGAACCTGGATTCCAAGGAGGTGGGGAAAGAGGGCCGAAGGCATTCCTCCTTCCTCTCTGTGACTGTGGGTACTGGGCAGACTTGCTGTGTATGAGTGACCCCTGCCATGGGGCTCACCAGGGGAACTGAGTGTGAGTAACTCAGATCAAGGTCTGGAGGGGGCAACCCCAGGAAGGGCGTGTGGTGGTCTCTGAAGAGAAAAATGCATTTTCTTGGGTTGATGACAAATGACATTTCTCTGAAATCAGGACTCAGGGTTTCTTTCACTTCCTGCCCAGAAGGTCAAAGTCCCTGGAGGTTTCCCCTCTTCATTTTAGTGCTCTGTAATCTGGGGAAAGGACGGTGTGAGAGACTCAAGTTTCTTTTTCTGTTTCTTAGCATTCTACTATCCCTGCTCCTGTAGCCAATTTTACATTCATTCAGTAAATGTTGATAAAGCAGTTACAATTTGTGCTTGGTATATCATATATGCCCAACAAATAATTGGAACATAAATAAGAATACCAGGCACTGGTTGCTGTTTTGGTAACAAAAAGGGACAGTCTTGTTTCCCCATGGCTTCACGCTTAGATCCTGTTGTTGTGTGCCATCGAGTCGGATCCAACTCATAGCGACCCCTCCTTGGGTTTCCGAGGTGGTATCACTATGGGAGTAGATTGCCCAACCTTCCTTCCGAGGATTGGCTGGTGGTTCAAACCCACCAGCCTTCTGGCTAGCAATCAAGTGCCTTAGGCATTACACTACCAGAGCTCAGATCCCAGTCCCCTCCTAGACTCAAATTCCTGTTTCTCCCTTTGGCTTTGGGACTTCAAAAATGTTCAGACCAACCTTCTACTCTCCCTCTAAGCCTAACATGTCTTCTCTATTCCCCTCATTGTAGCTTGGGTGTGAGCAGGTGTTAACCCTTTCTAGATAAGACAGGGTGTGCCAATGGGTGGGGCTGGTGGAGGGGCAGTGGGGCGGGGAGAGGGGAAGATGAGTCAGAGTGAAAGGGAAAATGCAAATGGCAAGCTGTCTTCACCTGCTACTCCTCTGAACATGACATATTTTCCATTTCTGAGCTTTCTAACTCCTCACAGCGCCCCACCCAGGAGCACATCAGACACCCACATAAAAGACACTGAGTCTGGACACATAAAGCATCAACCCCTTATACGTATGTTCTCCCTCTAAAAATGAAACACTTTATTCCATAAAGATATGGAATAAGTAGAGAAAGCCATGAGGGAGAAGCCGAGTCTGGGAGGAGAAGTCAGAGAGCAGAGGTAAGGGGGTGGTCTAGAAGATTACATCATCACTCAGGGGAGTGTAGTCCCCCTTGACTCCCAGCCAAACATCATGTGCCCATGACTCAGCTCCCCTTACCCATGTGGTTTGCCCATTGATGATCAAGAGATTTGGAGACTCGACTCCAGGGGCATTATTTTCTGTAAGCCAAATATAGCAGGCAGGGAGCGTCAGTGGGCTTTAGGGAAGTCTGAAAGGGAGAAGGACAAGGGAACAAAGGTCCCCAAGAATGGGAAATCCTGTCTTGCCTCCCACTTAGTGTCTAACCCACCTAAGGATATGTCCTTAGAGACAGCCTCCTCAGAGGTATCCCCAAGGCCCTCTGCACCTCAACCCTCATGCAAGCAACACTCTAGGCCCTTCTCTACCAACTTGCTACATTGCTGGCCACTGCCAAAAACCAAACCCACTGCCATCAAGTCTTTTCCAACTCATAGCAACCTTCATTGGGTTTCCAAGGCAGTAAATCTTTATGGTAGTAGATTGCTCCATCTTTCTTCCACAGAGCAGCTGGTGGGTTTGAACCGCCAACCTTATGGTTAGCAGGCAGATGCCTCAGGCACTCTGACACCAGGGCTCCTTGCATTTCTGACAGAGCAGCCCAGATCATCCTGCACTGAGCAGTGACAGCAGATGCAAATACCACCTTGACCTGGAAGGATAGGGACACTGCTGACTGTTGCTATTCTTAAAGAGTCTCTCCTCTTCAGCCACAGAAACCTTGCCCACTACTATTTCCCAGGCTATCTCAGTAGAGAATCATCAGCAGTTGTCCTTCTGGGGTGGAGGCAGGAAACCACAGGCTGTGAACACGCTAGTTTTGCATCCTGGAAGAGGGTAGAAGAGGGGGTAGGAAGGATTAGGTAGGAAGAGGATATGGAAAAAGGAGGTGTGATTTCTGCCCCTCTGTCTTTTCTAATACTCATGCTCCAAACTAAAACCAAACTCACTGCCATCGAGTTGATTCCAACTCATAGCGACCCTCACTGGGTTTCCAAGGCTATAAATCTTTATGGAAGCAGACTGCCTCATCTTTCTTCTGTGGAGTGTGTGGTGGGTTTGAACCACTGACTTTTTGCTTAGCACCCAAATGCTTTAACCAGTATACCACCAGAGCTTCTTAATACTCATGCTACTAAGTAAAACTTAAAATGTGATATTTTTATTCTTACTGGTGGGCTTGACCAAGGGGACAGGCAGGGGAAAATGCATCAGGGGTTCGGTGCACACCATGGCTACAAAAACAGAGCTTTCTAGAGATCCTTGCATTATATGATCTGTTACAGATTCGATTGTGCCCCTCCTCTCAAAAAATGATGTGTTAGGATCCCAAACTCTACACCTGTGGATTTAATCCTGTTTGGAAATAGGGTTTTCTTTATGTTAAGGAAGCCACACCAGTGTAGGGTGTGTGCTAAACCTAATCACTTCTGAGTTATAAAAAGCAAATTAGACAGAAACACACCAGGGGAGACAGATGGCCCATGAGGATCACCAAGGAACCAAGGAATACCCAGGGCTGCTGACAAGGAAGGAGTCAACACAGTGGAGAGCCTGATTTGGACTTTTAGCCTCCAGAACTGTGAGAAAGTAAACCTCTGTTCTTTAAAGCCACCCTCTTGTGGTACTTCTGTTACAGCAGCTCTGGGAAACTAAGACAAGACCCCTCAGGCACAACCCAGCATGATGTAAAATTGTGAACACAACAATACAAGTATGGATTCTCTTTAAAACATTGTTACTGAAATCAAGCCATTGGGTCAAATAGAAGAATGATTATTTGTGTTACAAAGTGTCCTCTCTTCATCTCATGTATTTTAAACATTGACCCCCCCCACCCTTACCTAAAATAACAAGGCTCAATTGAGAAAAACTGTATAATTTGCCACCTCCCCCACTTTCTTGAGGCAAATTAAAGTAGTTAAAACTCTCCACA